CGAACTTAAGTATTAGGCGAACCTAAGATCATCTTCGATAGGACTAGAGATAAGGTTCTAGAGAGCTAGAATAGTAATACCGTAATGGATGACGCTACGTCTATTAAACTAACTATAGTTAGACTAAAGCGAGTAGTAATATACGGAGATGGCGTAATACCTCGTAAAAAGTTATAAAAGGCTCTCGGTCGGATTAATAGACCTAAAAAGTTAGCCTCCCTAATCCTATCGTAAGAATTATATAAGATTATAGTCCGAGACGTACTATCTAGGTCGAAGGAATTAAGAGGAGAAATCTTTTCTAAGAAAATCTAGGAGTACGATGAAGATCTACGAGAGGTCTTAAGGAACGGCTATAAAGTCGCTACCGTTCGCATAGATAGACTAAAAGACCCAGTATATAAGCGAGAGTTATTATATGCGAAGTATCCCTTTCTACCTATTAGGACCTAGACTAGCTCCGAGAGAGGTCTAGTAGATACCGGAGCTAAAGTAAATGTAATGTCGAAAGATTTAGTAATGGAATTAGGTCTTCCGGTTTCGACGCCCCGAGTTATTAAGAGTACTATTAGGTATAATAGTAAGTATAGTTAGCTATTTAAAGGCGTAGTTAAAGGACTAATTATAAACGTTAAAGGGGTCGAAGTCGTATCCCCTATATATATCGCGAATGTTATAGACCCTTAGTATCGATTAATACTAGGGATACCTTTTTAGATCGTAATACGAATGGAAATAGTTCGTAAGGAGGACGGAACGTACCTTATTAGTCTTAAAGACTACGAAACTTCTCGAATAGTATAGGTTCGAGCCGCCGAAGCGGAGATTAGCCTTAATAAGAAGACTATAAAGATAGTCGAGTTATCTTATAGAGGGTTAAACTAATTAGCGGATAGGAAGAACCGGAGGAAGAGCCTCTATTCGCTAGAATAAGTAGGCTAGGTATTAGGATTAAAACAACTAAAAATAAAAAAGGTACTAGTTAGTACGGTTATATAACTATATAGACTAGCGGATTAGACGTTAGGAGTTCGGAAAATGTTTTATATAAAGGTATTATAGAAATTAGATAATAGAAGAACGTAGCGTTCTTACCGAGTTTATACGATAACGACGAAGAAAATCGGCTATAGAGAGTATCGTAGCAAAGAGATTCTATTAGCCTTAAAGAAGATATACGAAATGAACGAAGGCATCGGAAAGCGAAGGTAGGTTTAGCTCCGGAAGCGCGAGTACGAACTCTTTATAAGAGGAAGGCCGATAAAGTATTATCTATTAATAGCTTCTAGACCGACGGTAGTACTCTAGGAGGTTTACTTAACTAGAGGGAACGGACTATCGAGCGAGAAAAGGCCGTAGGGCTATATACGACGTCCTATCGTTATTCGGACTAGCTAATGCCGAGGTTTATAACATTTCCGAGAGGATTAAGGCTAACATTAGAAAGATTAGAGACTCTATTAGTAGGTAATATCCTAGGATCTATAGAGAAGGACATCTTCGTAGAGTTACTATTTAACCGAGAAGGCGCGCTTACGTAGACCTTCTCGGAGATTAGAAAGATTAGCCGCGAGGTAGCTCCGCTATAGATAATTAGAATAATCCCTTATAAAGTATAGTAAGCGAAGCCCTTTTACATTCCTAGAGCGCTAGAACGAAAGGTAATTAAATTAGTCGAAGATCGTATTAGAAAAGGTATCTTTAAAGCGTACTATAGGCCGTACCGTAATCCATTTTTCCTAGTCGGAAAGAAGAAGGCTAGGGAGTATCGCATTATTAACGTAGTAATAAATATTAATCGTATAACTATTCGCGATGCTAACTTACCGCCATCTTCAGACGAATTCTCTAAGGAATTTACTGGGATGTACATTCTAAGTCTAATCGATTAGTTTTTAGGATATAATTAAGTTAGTCTCGCTATAGAATACCGAGATATAACTATATTTCAGACGTCCTTAGGGCTAATAAGATAAACGACGCTACCGTAAGGCGCGACGAATTCGGTCGCTTAATTTATAAGAATTTCGAATAAGGTATTAGCGGCCTAGATTCCCGAAGCCGCGCGACTATTTATAGACGATATCGCGGTAAAAGGACCGAAGACTAACTACTATATAGAGGAAGTTATACTAGGTATTCGTCGATTTATAATAGAATACCTATAAAATCTTAATTAAGTACTATATAATATCGAGAGAGTAGGGGCGACGGTATTAGGAGAAAAGTCTTAATTCTATATAGCCGGAATTAAAATAGTTAGGTATATCTATAATAGAGAAGGTAGATATCCTAATGCTTCGAAGGTAGAAAAGATCTTAACGTAGCCACTACCTCGAAATATTATAGAATTAAAAGGTTTTCTTAGGATTTATATCTATTATTAGATCTAGATTAAAGGGTTTACTTTTATTACTACGGTATTATATCGTCTAACTAAGAAGGGTATCGAATGGAAATAAGAAGAAGTAGAGATAGAGGCGATAGATTTATTAAAACTTACTCTAACTTCGGCGCCTACGCTAGTAAGTATTAATTATGACGCTAGTACTAGTTTAATCATTCTTACTTTTAACGCGAGCCTAAAGGACTAGGGCGCGGTTTTAATATAGTTAATAAGAGATTCGAAATACCGGTATCCTACGCGATACGAGAGTAGTCTTTAGTTAAAAGCTAAGGCTAGGTATAACGCCGGTAAGCGCGAATGTCGTACGCTACTAAAAGCGCTTAAGAAGTTTAAGACGTAGCTATATAAGGTAACCTTCGTAGTAGAAACTAATACCCTAACTCTAGCGGTATAATTAAATAGGTTAGTAACGGACCTACTAGAGGCGCTAGTTACTTAATAGTTAGTATAGATTAGGTTATTTAACTTCGAAGTAAGATATATTCCGGAAGTGAAGAATGTCGCGGTAGATGCGCTATCGCGTAGACTAGGAACGATCGAAGAAGTTAAAGCGGTAGAGAGAGAAGAAGATATTAACGAATGGATTACAGCTTAGTTATTTAGAGTAAGAATGTACCTAGTTAGAGTAGGGGGTTATAAATGTAAATAACGGCTAGGTAGGTACTTACCTAGTTACGTAACTATATAAGGTAGGTTAAAGGATAATAAAAGAAAAAGTTTACGAGTAAGTATAGTAAGAGTAGGCGGCGAAGAAAGAGGGAATAGATAGGAAGAAACCGTAAGCGGAAACGAAGGGGAAAGTAAAAGAACGGTAGGGAATGCAGAAAATAGTTAGGAAAAGGAGTTAGAAGAAGGGGAATACTCGGATAAATCGAAGAAAATAACGGAGTATTTATAAAGGTTTAAGCGGCTAGCTAGACTAACCGATGGCGAATTTAAGAGATTCCGAAGAGAGGCACTAAAATACTTTATACGCGGAGGTTATCTCTTTCGGCGACCGGATGCTGCGAGGCCTACCCGTAGGGTAGTTAACCGAGAGGCTACTTAGTAACTAATTCTAAAGGAAATGTATAATAATAGTAGTTATAAAGGTCGTAAGAGTACATTCTCTCGAGTTACTAATCGATACTATTAAGATAGGTTATACTTAGACGTTAAGAAGTACGTACGAACGTACCGAGAATGCTAATTTAGAGTATCTTAGAGGATCGAAGAGGAGATGCGGCTAATATATATAGATAAGAGATGGGAATAGGTATATATTAATATAATACCGATACTAAAGTCCCGTAGAAAGAGTTATCTCGTAGAAGCTCGGAGTTCGTTTAGTAGATAGGTAGAAGCGCGGGGGATAGTATAGAATAACAGCGCGATAGTTTCTAAATTTCTATAGGAAGACGTAATCTACCGATATAGTATCTTTAGAAGGCTAATCGTCGATAGCGGACCGGAAAATAAGGACCTAACTATTAAGTTAATAGAGAAGTATAGTATTAAGAGAGTAGTAATTTTAGCGTACTATCCTTAGGCTAATAGGTTAGTTAAGGTAGGATATCGAGCGGCTATAGATACTCTAGTGAAAACCTATAAGTATCCGGCTCGAATAGACTAGATAGATCACCTTTATACTATACTATAGGCGGACCGGACTACTATTAAGTTAAGTACCGGTTTTATACTATATAAACTAGAATATTTAGATCGCCCTATTCTTCCGATTAAACTAGAAGTATCGACCTAGTATATTCTTCCGTAGGAATAAGTATATACTACTAATAAATTAGTAGTAATAAGAGCCCGAGCGATTAAACGAAGAGAGGAAGATTTAGAAGAAGCGCGAGCTTACTTAAGGCGGATAAGAGATAAGAGTAAGGAATATTTCGATAAGAGATATCAGCTACGTAAGGATCCATTAGAACCTAGTATACTTATACTAGTATATAATACCTTTAGCGCTATAGATATATCGAGCTCGAAGAAGCTTTCCTTTCGATAGATAGGTCTATATCGCGTACTATAGGCGAATCCTATACTTAGGAATTATACCCTCTCTAAGCTTAACGGTACTTAACTACGGGGTACCTTCGTGTCAGAGCTGCTTCCTGTATGGCCTAACGGGGTTAGGCTTCCTCAGTCACAGTTCCTTTATTGCATGAGCTGGGTCGAGAGTACGTAAGGTATGAATAGTCGAGTGACTTCAGAACAGTATAGTAAAGTAGATGTCATGAGTTAGCTACGAGAGAGTGTAACTATTAAAGGGGAATGAGCGTAGCTATATACTTATGAGGTGTATCCCGAACAGGTAACTGGGGATAGTATAGTGATATGTTGATATGGACTATATCAACATATCGCTATATCGTCTTTTTCCCTTTTAGGTAGTCACGTGCGGCACGTGATCTAGCCTTATCTTGCTAGGCTGCCATCCGGTAGACCTACCTCCGGGCGCCCCGCGCTCTAGGTCATATAAAGGCCGTTTCTAACACTATCTCCCCTCCTTCCTGTTCGTTGTCCTCAACGTACTTAAGGTAGGCTGCGCCCACCCTTTATCGTCCCTCGTTTCTCTTTCTCCTCTTGTTCCTCATGGCTAACCATGCAGCCCTTTCGCATAGCTAAACCTCGTCGTTCCACAAAACCAGTGAAAACTCAAAGCGAGCGTCGTATCGAACTTACCGATTCCATTTCTACCGATCCTGAGAATATCGCGATGGTAGCTTACACCGAGTGCGTCAACTACGGGGTTATCTATTACTACGACCGCGAACAGTCGTCCTCTTACGCCGAATGTCTCCGGAGACAGCGAAAATGTGACGGTACTTTCTCGATGGAAGAATTCCGAAAAGTGGGGGAACAAAAGAAACAATTGGTTGCAAAATCACGGGCGAAGCGAAAGGAAATCGCTCGCCTTCGCCGGTTAATTGCAGAAGCCGAGGAAGAGGACGTGTCCTTCCAGGGCGAGCTTAAGCGATTAGAGGAGGTTTCAAGTCGTATGTTGCGTCGTAAGATGTAGGCGTTGGGTGTCTTCGATAAGCTGCCTGATTCCGAGGAGGTAGCTCTAGCTGAGCCTAACTTTACTTAGTCCGACGCCCCGAGCGTCGAATAGGTTGATTAGGAAGCTGTATTATCTAGTAAAACTACTTAGGGTGTTACCTTCGAGCTTCCTCTAGAGTTTCCTTCGCTAGGTGAGTCTCTAGTTCCTAACTATTCTCTGACTCGTTATATCCTAACTACTTAATTAGGTACTAGGGAGTACCACGCCTAATGCGTCTTCCGAGTATTTTTTCCACGTCGTACTCTTCTATTACGACCTCTTCGTCTAAAGGTAGTGACTTAACTGGTTTAGCGTTCTTTAGTGCTAGTTCAAGTAATGAGATATAGAATATACTGTAAATTCTTATATCCTTAGGAAGTTCCAGTCGGTAGTTAACCTTTCCTATCTTTTCCTTAATCCTAAATGGTCCTAGCTTAATATGATCTAGTTTTATACTTAGCCGCTTTATCTTAATGTTTTTTCGCAAAAGGTAGACGGGGTCCCCCTCCTCTAGGGGCGGTCCCTCGACCCTTCTTTTATTTGCGTATGTTACCATTCTTTTTGCGATGAACTGCAGTGTTTCTCGCAATTTCTCGTGGATTTCTTTCATTATTCTGGCTTTTATTAGTACTCTCGGGTTCGAGCTTTCTTAAATATTATCTTCTAGTCTTAGATGGAATCCGTAGTTAGCGTAGAATAGGCTTAGTCCTGTTACTGACTTATGATTATTAAAGTAGAATTGTGCGATCGGTAGTATCGTAACCCAATTCGTTTATCCGTAGTCTACGTACATCCGTAGGTATTATTCCAGTGTCTAGTTCGTTCTCTCTATTTAACCGTCTATCTGAGGGTGGAATAATGTAGATAGTTTATACTTCGTGACTAATAGCCTCATTAGTTCTTTCTAGAATTTTGACGTGAAGAGCTTATCTCGGTCTGTAATAATCTCTTTTAGTATGCCGTAGTTTACGAATACGGTTCTCAAGAATTCATATACGAAGTCTTCGGCCGTCGAACTTTCCAAGTATAGCCTAAAGTAGGAGAACTTTATAAGTCTATTATATATCACTAGAATACTATCGTAAGTTACACCCGTGAGGGGTTCTCTCGACTTTAGTAGTTTCGTGATAAAGTCCATTATGACTGACGTCTACGCACCTTCTGGTACCTGTAGTGGTTATAGTAATCCGTATGGTTTATATCTGTTGTACTTATCCTGTATATATACTTCGCAGTTCTATATGAATTCTTGGATGTCCTTTCTCATGCCTTTCTATGGTTCGTGATGTCGAGTGATTAGTTCGATCATCTTATCCGTCCCTAGGTGTCCCATAAGTAGGTCGTTATAGTAATGTTCTATAACCACCTTCCTGTTTTCTTATACTTTCTAGGGCTATTTTAGTCCTATCGTGTCCTTTATCTAGATTTTCGTATCATACCCGTTGTTCGTATTGTATAACGGCCCCCCTACTGCGTAAGTAGGTTAAGCGTACGTGAGGTACTCTCCTTCTTGTCGTAGTAGTGACGCGGGCGTTAGTTTGATGTCTACTATATAATCCGCTCGTCGGCTTAGAGCGTCCGCTCTGCCGTTCTCTTTTCCCTTTATATAGTAAATCTGGAAGTTATAAGTAGTAAGTATCTCTACCTATCTTACCTGTCTTCGGTTGAGGACCTTAGTCGTATTCCAGTATAATAGGTTCTTATGATCTAAGTATATCTTAACCGTATATCTTGGTCCTTCGAGGTATACTCTCCAGTGCTTCAGTGCTTCGACGATAGTAAGTAGCTCCTTATCATATATGTCGTAGTTTAGCTCTAGTGCTGTTATCTTTCTTAAGAAGTAAGTTACTGGCCTTATTTTCTTATCTCGTCCTATCTATATCAGGACTGCGGCGATCGCGCCGTCTGATGCATCCGTCTTAAGGAGTGTCTGGAGGTCTAGGTCAAAGATCGTGAGGATCGGAGCCTCCGTAAACGCCTTCTTTAGTTTCTATATTGCTTCCCGGGCGTCGTCTGTTAGAGTAAAGGTCGCGACTCCTTTCTTTATCAGATTCGTCAAGGGTACTGCGATTCGTAAGTAGTTCCTAATGAACTTCCTTAAGTAATTTACGAATCCGAGGAACGCTTATAGTTCCTTTAACGTCGTTAGTTCTAGCCATTCTAACACGCTCTTAATCTTATCTGGATTAATCTATAGTCCGTCTTACGAGACGATGTAACCAAGAAACTTCACGCTTAGTTTATAGAACTAGCACTTTTCCAACTTAACCGGTAGTTAGTATTCTTTTAGTGCTTCTAATACCCTTATAACGTATTCTATATATGACTCATAATCTCCTAAGTAGATTAGAATGTCGTCAAGGTATGCGACGTAGAAGATGTCTAAGTATTCCCGCAAGACATTATTAATTAATGCTTAGAACGTCGCTGGTGCGTTAGTGAGCCTAAATAGCATCACGCAGTATTCGTATAGACTATAGCGGGTCCTGAAGGCTATCTTCCATTCCTCGCCTTCTTTCATACGTATACGGTAGTACGCGTCTCTCATATCGATCGTTATAAAGTACTTCGCGCCTTTAAGCCTATCCTAGAGCTCATCAATCCGTAGTAGCGGGTATACATTCTTGACGGTGATGTCGTTTAACTTCCGATAGTCTATATACAGTCGGAGTTCTTTACCGTCCTTCTTAGGGATAAACAGGATCGGATAGCCTACTTCTGATTCTAAGGGTCTAATGTAGCCTTTTACTAGGTTATCCTTAAGGTATTTACGTAGAGCCTATTACTCTACTTCGGACAGTAAGTAAAGTAGTCCGAACGTAGGTCTTTTCCCTTCTTAAAGTCGTATTTTATGATCCTACGGCTTATATTTAGGTAGTACCTCGAGTCCTACCTTCTTTTCGAAGACTTCCTTAAGCTCTTCGTATTCTAGCGGGTATACGGATGCTTCGGCCAGTATTTTCATAGGTCGTACCTAAATTTCCTTCTTTACGAAGGGTTGTACCGCCATTACCTCTCGGTCTTAAGGTCTTTCTATATAGTTACAGTTATCGAACCGTACCTAGACCTTTACCCAGTCGATAACAGGGTTATACCTTTTTAACCATAGCATTCCGAGTACGATATTATATTTCGTCTCCGCGACGTTAAGGCTGATCTCTTCGTAGTGCTCGTCGATCGACAATCGAATTCTTCTCAATTCGTGTATGACGTTAGATAGTACCTTCCCGGTAAATCCTGATAGTTTATAGGACGTAGTCTTTTCGTGTTTCCACTCCTTTAGTTTATTAACTACCCGGTGGCTGATAATATTGCCGGTATATCCTAAATCGATGAGGATATATACTTCCTAATCCCCTAGGGTTCTATGTAAAATGATTAAATGCGAGTAAGTCGCCATAGTCATTCCACATAGTTCCTCTAGTCGATCCCTTACTACGCTTTTCCCGCGGGCCCTCTTCCGCTCGCGCCTTAGTAGAGCTGTTCTCCCTTAGGCGGCCTACTCCTCGGGCCGTCCCTGCCTTAGTTTTTTAGCCAGTATAGGTAGTCCATCCTTCCGTTCCGTAGGTCGGATACCTTATAATTCCAGTCTCTACATCGTCCTACTGATGCTTGATGTACTTCTCTAGCTTCTTTAATTGACATCCCTAGAGCTTCCGGTTATAGATAGTCCAGGTGTCGTTTATAATAATAGGGTATGTTCCTTAGCGGGCATCTCGCTACCTCGTTATAGGCGAAGTTACCCCTGATTAACACTCCCTCTAGTATCTCGTCTACGTACGGTACGGGGACACCTCGTTCTCTATAGATGCGGAACACCTCTAGGATTCTATCATCGTTTAATCCTAGTATTCTAGCTCGTTCGTATCGCTCTCTGAGGATTCGCCGTTCTTCTAAGATCCTCATCATGAGTCTGGCCATTTCCTGGAGTATTTCGTCTCGCTATTCTTCGGTTCCTCCTACTCCGAGGTCTCGCACTCTCTATACGATCCGAAGGGCTTCTTCATGTAGTTATTCGAGCATCGTAAGTATAGTTAGGTGCTCGTCGTCTTCTTCCTACTCGTTTAGGTCGAATCGGCCTATCATGTTAATTTCCGGTTCTACTTAGCTTTCTTCGATCTTGTACATATATTGAGTTTCTAGGTTTCCCCCCTGATGTGAATGAACGTAGCCCTCTATTTGATCCCTAGGGCATTCCGGGTTTTTACACAGGATAATCGAAAAGATCCTTTCCCTTAGCTTTAGTTCCTCTATTGGCTCGTAGACCGTATAGTAGTGTTAGAATATAGTTCCTTTCGGGTATGTAGGATCTACGCATTCTTTATCGCTCTAGTACCTTATCTTGATGTGGATGCGATTTAGTGTGATGGCGAGGATTGTCGCGCTTTAGTGGTCCACGGATTCTCCCGCGTGAACTACGTTCGCTTCTGGTTTTGTCTCTGATCTCTTTACCTAATTCTTCTTCTGGAGTTCTACCTGATTTACCTATTTCTTTGGGGACTTACATTCCCTTACGTAGTGACCAGGCTTTCCGTAATTATAACAGTTTCCCTAGTTCCTTAGGCTACTTAGCTTCTTACCCTACTTTATATCTTTAACTTAAGTCGTTCCTCGTTTTTTCTAGGCTTAGTTAAGGTCCATCGGCATCGGTCTATAGTATAGTTACCTTTATTTCTTAGTATTGGACCTTTATCCCTTTACCACGAACCCTCGACGGTAATTGTCGTGGCGTTTATATTCTTAGTAGTCGTTATCGACCTGGATCGCTCCGTCAATCCAGTCCTCGATTTTTTCGCCCTTATACGTTCTCATTTCCCATTTAATCGCTAGCTTAAGGCCTTCGCGAAAGATAGAGATTAATACACCATCGCCCTACCCGAGTACTACGTTTAGGGTTCGGAACTTAGTTGTATAATCTTAAACCGAGCCCGTTTAGCGTAGGTTTATAATTTGTCGTTCCGCCTCTTTTTCTTCGTCCC